TGTGATGAGTGTGAACTGATGTGTTTGCATTTCGCACATGGAGGCATGTACGAATAAGTGGAAACCAACGCTATCTTTGGACCACTTCAATACTGTGGACTGTACTCCTCTCTGCCCAGGACTGCTTTGGCTGTCATATTGAGAGGAGATTGGGAGAATGGGTGGCTGTCGCTTTTTGCATTGAAGTGTTCTTCGTGGACATCTGTAAACTCGGGGACATCGGGTCGATCAGTGTGTTCTTCAATTGGGAACACTCAATATTTGAGTGTCCAAGATGGCAATTCTCTTGGCAGTAGGAACTTTGTTGGCATTAGTTTGCTGCATGCATGACAAAGTGTCAAACCCTTTCCCTGCAACATTCCACTGTGGTTTCATCTTTGTGGCCTTGCTTTATAATAGAAGCACGTTATTTCTATGTCTTTATGGGCAGTGTCATCCTACGTAGTCTTGAAATGAGGATGGTGCTCCTGATGATGGTGGTTGTTTGCCTCAATGGGTGCTTCATGCTTGAACAGCCCTTCTCAAGCTATTTTGAATTCTACCCTCGCTTCCGGGATTTCATTGCTATGCTGCAAAAACATGGAGGTCGCCATGCTGTCCCTTACCCTAACTGACAAAGTGGTTTTGATGTAGTTTGAATTGTTGGAGGAAGAACTGTTGACTGAAGTTGCAATCAACATGAATTGTAGAATTGACTGATTTTTCGAATCCGAGTCCGGTCAAAGGGATATAGTAACATTATTGGTAATCTGTTGGCCTTCGTTTGGAAGTCAATCACATTAACATGAGCTATCTAGTGTGTGAGGATACCAACATACATGTTGGAAGGGGTCATTGTAGATACTGAGAAATGAAATGACACAAACAAGTGAGTTCAGTGGTCAACTCACTATTCAATTATGACTGGGACCTCCTGGCTTCCATGCAATTACAATATCCAGAGTTAAAGGTTCACTAGCTGTTTATGAAGTTGTGAAATTTAATTTTGACATATTGGCATAATGAATATAATCATCCAAACCTAACCTTCTCATTTGTCCATTGCGCTATGCGGTCGTTCCAGCCCAGGTACATAAGGCAGCCTGGTACATGTTGCACTATGGTGGGCCCACACCGAAACGACATTATGCATTCAGTAACTGCCGCCATGTGGCAAATCTGAATGCTGGCAAGCTGAGGGGATGGGCCAGGGTGAAGAAGGCTCTCAAACAGGATGGGAAGCTTCAATCCTTGGTGGATCACTATGTGGACAAACAGGGCAAGAAACGGTGGAAGGGAAACAAATCCCTACGTGCCAGCGAGTCAGGAACTCATTTTGTTGAAACTCAAACAATACTGACTGAGTTGATTGGCATTTACCATAACCGTTTCTTCTGTGCATTCAATGGGGGGAAACCACTGAGAAAACCTTGTTTCTGAAGTTTTAGGACTCAACTTTCCCACCAAGGCCAATTGTTTTGTTTGTAACACGTTCTGGCACCTGACCTGGGAGACCTTTGCCTTTTTGCTGGTTGGTTTCTTAGGCACTATCCTGCAAAATTTGGTGCCAAGCTGGTTTCCTTGTTCAAGGATATGACCACTGACCACCTTGGAATGCCTACCTTGCCACCCAAGATCCCGACCGCTGCTGAGACCTTTAACAGCCTTAAATTCGAAGATCTTTGGGCTGAAGCTGGCATGCAATCAGTGTGTCACTATCTTAGGAGCAGTGTCCACTTGCGGGTTCCTGAGGAGTTTGCAGGCCTTTTACCTCGGAAGCTTTAAATGCTTCTGGTGGTTCCGACGTTGCTGTTTGGTCCCTAGACCCTCCGACATACAAATATTTGGCTACATATTAGTTTATGTTGATCCCAAACAACAAAATCAACATTTCTACCCGTAAAAGGCCGTAATCCGTAATCACTCGTAACCAGCCGTAATCCATCACGACATGAACCCCGTAATATACCCGTAATTCTGGTGAAAAACATATGTATTATGCCATAATGACCATAATCTAGGATTTATAGATTCACTGTCCAAATGCCATCACATTAAAAAAACACATGTTTTAGGGACGTCACCAACCCATAATTTTCCTGACCCATAATTTGACCGTAATCAACCCATAAAATTCCGTAACCAACCCATAAAATTTTATGGGTATTTCTTAAAAAACATAGGTTTTTTCACTATGTTTTAGTAACATCAAATCATTGGTTTTATAAGGTTTTGTTCGGAATAAGTCAACCATTAACATATATCGTTTGTTGTTGGTGGTGGGGACTAAGCTTTTGGCAACGTCTTCAATTGAACTGCCTTTGTTCAATTCAATGAATAATTGAGACCTTGGGGTTGAGTTCCAGGCCTGTCTAGATGTTCTGACATCGTATGTGCTGTGGAGCGAAAACGTATCAGGTGCATGTGTTTTTGACAATGTCATATAGAGCATGAAACAAACACACAGTTGTGTGAGCTGGTGTTTGTGTGGCATCAATGGTTGAACATGTACTTTTCTTTTGGTCTTGGAGGCATTTCTGTGTTTGCTAGCCAAGCAAAGTAGCAGTTGCTGTGTCTTCACATGGAGATTGCCCGTTCTGATACAGCACGCACCATGGTGTCCCGTGCGCATTCATCGAGTGAGCTGCGCCGGGCGCTTTCCTACATCATGAAAGATGGAGAGACTATGGATCTACCTGATGACTTGGAGAAGCTGGAGGATTGAATGGTTTGTAGGATTTGGACTTTGTTGCCACTAGGTAAACTCTCCTGACAAAAGTTGGTAAACATCAGCCTTTTTTTTTCATGGGTCAAAAGGTCTAGGTGCACCATTAACCACCAAAGTTGCATTTCTATTTTGTCAGCCTGCAGGAAATGGAACGTGAGCTGAAAGACTTGGAGGTCAAAGACGCAGCAGTCAGACCCTCATTGTCAAAAAGAAAATCTGAATTCTAGAAATGGTGTCCTAAAAAATAATCATGATTGGCTATGAGAAGCTATGAGAACAAAGCATATTTGCTTTATCTCCTTCCCATTCCCCGTTCCCAGTCTTCGGCTCCAAGCAGCGGCTTGCTATGTTGATTGAGGCGGAATCCTTGGCTCATCTGGAGGAACTTCAGCAGGTTGCTTCTAGACTGCAATTGTCTCTGTGGAGATGTATGGCCTGTAGGTTTCCATTGGGTGGCCAACAAAGAAAGCCATAGGAAATAGTTGTCAAAAGAAACTACATGAAAGTAAAACCTAACAGCCTTGTGACAAATATCTCCAGAATGAGCACACATGATTGTTTAGCTTATGAGTCATGAGGTTTTCTCTTTGGAGCTATGTGTTTGGTTCTTTGATTTTTTTTGTCAGTGTTTCATCTAGTGTTTGCTGAGGCTACTCCCCAGGCTCGTGAGCAACCTGAACGTGCTGAAGAGCTACAGGAGACCATCCCTGCAACTGAATCCCAGGTTGAACGCTCGTTGACTGATGCTTCCCCTTCTCTGACATCTTCCCTGGGACGTATGGACTCGATGACTTCAGATGACAATAAGCCATCTCCAGTGGCATCATCGTCTCCTGAGGATGTTTTCTGCCTAAAAAAACATAAGTTTTCCACATGTACTGTGCTGTCTTTGTTTCTACGATGATAATGATTTGCTTGGGGCGTGGATGCCATGCCAGGAAATGGGTGTTCATGCAAGGTCACAAAAATATGTTGGTGGATTCAGGAAACCTAGCCTAAGCAGTGTTTCCCAAAAGGTATGATTGATCTTCTTGTCTGGGTGGATTGTACTCCATTCCAGTGCCAAGCCGGCCAAGCTGCTTCCAAGGTCACTGCACGCATTGTCCAGATGTACCAGAAAGGTGAACTTGATTCGGCGGTTGCAATGCAACTCCTTGGAGGGGCATTGAACTCCAAGCAGGCTGGTGGCAACTCAGGCAGTGATCCAAATGAAGCGGACAGTGAAGGTGGCAAGAAACGACCGGTAGAGCCATCAACCTGTGTGGAAGACTTGGATGAACTGTTAGATCAAGCCAAAAAAAGCCAAGCTGGAATCTTTGACAAGACTTGGTAGTTGCATGCCATTACCTGAAATTTGGTGTGTGAATATGGTTTATGTTGCATTCATGGTGTGCAACAATATGTTCTGTGGATGCATACAGATTTCTTTGCGATTAGGGGTTGTTGAGTGCGCAAGTCATTTTAGGAAGAGAATGCTTTGAAAGCAAAGCTTCGTCGACTTTGTGAAGTCAAGAGTGGTGGTAGATTGCAAGTGCCGCAGTGGCTACATGATGAATGGAAAAAATGGAGACCATCTTGAGATGGCACGCCAATACCAAGCCTGCAACTTTGACAAGGTCGCCCTGGCTGTTGTTGAACGCAGGTGAACTTGTTGTCAACATATATGTTCCTTCTGCCAAGCTTCTGAATTTCCTGGGTTAGGCAGCTCCAGATCCAGCTGTCCTTGAAAAAGAAGTCGGTCACCAAGAACGACAAGTCCATCAGTGACATTGCTGTAGGTTGGTACAGCAAAGATGATATGCTGAAAGTTCTCAAATGGAGTGCGAACCTTTGAAGCACTAGGTAGAATGAAGCTCAACAACAGTTTCACATGTCCTTTCTTGGTTGCAAGTCTCAATTATCTTGGGTTTAGCCCAGGAAGAAGGTTCAAGGTGCAATCAAAGTGTGCCAGCAAGATCCTGAGAACTTGGTGAGGCCATTTGCCAAGCATTGCATTCCAACTGGTCATACATAACACGTGTGCAGTTACATGTCTGAACATGCAAGCAAATTGTATAATTGTATCTACTCCATGGATCCACAGGGTTAACGCAGAACAATGTTGCAGTGGGTTTCTTGCTTTGGAGTAGGGGCTGATGAGCACTTCACTCAAGCCTTGTGAATCTTCAAATGCCAAACACCCCCCAAATGTCCTTTGTTGTGAAGGACCTGCCGCTATGGTGGTGAGGATGAGTATTACATCCAAGTCCGTGAGACGGGCAACCAGCAGCAAGAGAAGATCCGAAGCGAATCCGTGGTTGAGCAAACTCAGGATTGACTCATTAATGTTTGATTGTTTCTCCAATAAATTAGTATCCCAATACAATATCTCATGAAGAGCCAAGGCTCAATTGCACATGAAGCCAGTCTCATCCCAGCAGTGTGGCGCTTGACCAAAGTGATGTCAGCCTGTCAGGATGATGGGCCAGCTGAGTTGGAGGACGTGCGCTTGGGGACGCTTGACCGGGCTGTTCAGCGTGACCAAGCCCTACAGGGTTCTGCAGTGCTTGCAACGAGTGAGGCTTGGGCCTGGTCAACTACATGAGAACCTGTTGTTGCATTTTTTTTTCTCTCTCTCTCTCTCTCCCTCTCTCTCTCTCTCTTTCTCTTTTATGTTTACTCTTTGGTGGAACATTTCATGGTAAATGTGTAAAAGTTGCCATCTATGTTGTGCACCTGGTAGGCTGCCAGATCAAAAGAGATCTTCACCAAGCATGTGGACTCTGTGCTTAGCAAAACTGCAAAACTCCGATCGCTCATTAGTGATTTGCAGAAGAACTACACTGATGACCCAACTGCCAAAAAGTGCCTAAGCTAAACAACTGGATATGTGAACAATAAACTACGATGAACTTGAACAGTGAGTGCTGCATGATGCTGCCAGCCTTCAAAATGCGATTCTCTCATCGATACCAGGGCTGTCATCCAGCTCAACCATGACCTTCAAGTGTTGGACGCCGAATACAACAAGTTATCTGAGCATGTGGCAAAGGGTGAGCGAGATGATCACAATGAAGTGTAACTTGATTGCATGTATCAGAAATGGTGACACTGCATTTTGGCCAGTACTGTTCGCTTAATACAAACTTGGTAACTTGAGTTCCAACAATGTTTTCTTCAGGTGGTGCAAGGAAGCGGAGACCATGTTGAAGGGCTCTACCTTTGTGTGCCTTGAAAACTGCTGACAGTGTTCGTTCATGGTTACAATTTGCAATCAAATCAATGCCAGCCAAAAAAAATCAACATGGTACAGCACTGATTGCTAGGTGCACCAAAGTGGCTCAGAGTGAAGCAAAGATTCGGTGGGGGGCTCAAAGCAATAGCACTCAGGCTGCTCAGTTTTTTTTCCCTCCCTGGACATGGAATGTCATGCATCCAAAGTGGCAATGCATGAAGAAACGGACTGATTCCCAGGAGTGCCAAGAAGCATTTCCAGAAGGTCAAGAAGGAGGAAGTGAAGCCTGAAGCGTAATAAAGCACGGAGATGCTTTGGGCAGGGTGTGCTGAGGTTCTGTAGGTCAGCACATGACACATTTTGCTGTGAAAACTCAAGGAGTTGTGGGGTGTGTTTTATAAACACGCTCCATTTGGCTTTTGAAGGCCTTCGATGTGGTGCTTAGGTAGTTCATGCAATGCACACCGTGGCCACATGACATTATATAGGTGTTTGGTAATGCTTTCAGTGGTTCGGCATCAATGAAACCAAGTCATCAAATATACAGTGTAAGGTGTGCATATGTATGCGGGATTGCGCCGCACGGATGCCAACTTTAGGTTGAAGCCATGTCCAAATGTGCCAGGGGAAAAAAGTCAAAAGAAAAGAACTGATGCCTGATTAAGTAATTTGGTGTTTCTCTTTTTGTTGACTCTGTAGACAGTGTAGTTCCTTTCACAACCCCCAAGACCTACAAAGACACTTGTCCTTTACCATCCAGTACTCTGAAAATCTATCATTGTTTGGCGACTCTTCACCATGCCAGGTCTCGTTGGTGAATCTGCGAAGCGATTTGCTGCCAATATTGGAGAAGGGGTCACTGGCTCAGCGCACATGGCATGGCCAGTGAAGGCTCTAGTGACAACTCATGGTGTTTGACGCTGACTGGCAAGTGCAGGGTTTTGGTTCTTGCTTTTGCAAAGAAATCAATATAGCACAACATGGGAAGTGGTGATGATAACTGAACTTCTAGAGTTTCAAATTCAATAATTCAAATATGTTTTTTT